TTGACACTTTAAATGTTTGTCCCTCGACAAAGTCTTTGTCAACATATCTGAAATATTATCATCTGTGTGAACCTTTTCGAGTTGCAACAGTTTCGAATCTAACACATCATGAATCCAATGGTATCTCACATCAATGTGTTTCGATCTCGAATGAAAAATAGAATTTTTACTCAAGTGAATAGCACTTTGACTATCACAATAAAGCATATACTTTTCTTGCTTCAAACCCAACTCTTGTAAAAATTTCTTCAACCATAACTTTTATTTGCAAGCTTCTGTAATGGCAATAAATTCAGCTTCGGTACTTAAAAGAGCTACACATTTTTGTAATTTAGATTGTCATGCCACAGCTCTCCCTGCAAAAGTCATCAAATACCCCGAAGTAGATTTCTTAGAATTAACATCACCGGCCATGTCAGAATCCATGAACCCATCAAGCATCGGCTTACCATCCCCAGAACACAAACACACCTTCGAAGTCCCTCGAAGATATCTTAGAATCCATTTTACCGCTGCCCAATGTTGTTTACCCGGATTAGAGAGAAACCAACTCACCACACTAACAGCGTGAGCAATATCCGGCCTTGTACAAACCATGGCGTACATCAAAGAACCAACTGCTAAAGCATAAGGAACTTTCAGCATCTCTTCCTTGTCTTTCTCACTTGTAGGACATTGATTCGAACTAAGTTTGAAGTGACCCGCAAGCGGACAACCAACCGGCTTTGCTTTATTCATGTTGAACCTCTCAAGAATTTTCTCAATGTAACTTTCTTGAGACAACCAAATCAGTCCCTCTTTGCGATCACGAACAATTTTCATACCAATAATTTGTTTTGTCGGTCCCAAATCTTTCATAGCAAAAGACTTCCTCAACTCCAATTTCAACCTGTTAATCATGGTAGAATCTTGACCCACAATTAACATGTCATCAACATAAAGCAAAAGAATAATAAATTTGTCATCCGGAAAATTTTTTACAAACACACAATGGTCCAAACTGGTTTTAGAAAAACCATTATTCATCATGAAAGAGTAAAATTTTTTGTACCATTGCCGCGGGGCTTGCTTGAGGCTATACAAACTTTTCTTCAATTTGAAAACAAATTTCTCTTTCCCTTTTTCAACAAAACCTTCTGGTTGCTCCATGTAAATTTCTTCTTCAAGATCACCATGAAGAAATGCGGTCTTCACATCAAGTTGCTCAACTTCAAGGTTCATACTTGCAGCCATGCCAAGTACAACCCGAATAGAAGACATCTCCACAACTGGTGAAAAAATTTCATCAAAGTCAATGTCTTTCTTTTGCCCAAAACCTTTCACAACAAGACGTGCCTTGTACCTCAGATTCTTGCCATCATTCTTCAATTTGAAGACTCACTTATTTTTCAAAATTTTCCTCTCCTTAGGCAACTTCACTAAATCATAGGTGTGATTTTCAAATAAAGAATTTATCTCCTCTTCCATGGCCTTTTTCCAATCACCTTTCTTTGCATGCTCAATTGCTTCTTGATAACTCTCAAGCTCCCTTTGATCAGAAATCAGCACAAACTCATTGGGAGGATACTTTCTTGAAGGTTGCTGGTCCCTTGTAGATTTCCTCAACTCAAGTTGTGGCGACGGTTCTTGAGTTGGATGCTCTTCCTTAATTTCTAGCTCAACTTCATTAGGATTAGTTTCATCCTCTACATCTTCAATAGGTGGCTGCACATCTCCCCCATTTTCATCATCAACTGAAGATGAAGGAGATGGATCCAAGTTAATGAGATCACTAGTTTTTGGCTCCGGTTGATCACCTTTGCCAAAGTCTTCAATTGTTTGGTCTTCAAGAAACACAACATCACGGCTTCGAATGACTTTCTTGTCGACCGGATCCCACAATCTATACCCAAATTCATCACGCCCATAGCCAAGAAAAATACATTGTCTTGACTTACTATCAAGTTTGGACCTCTCATCCTTTGGAATGTGAACAAAAGCTCGGCAACCAAACACTCTCAAGTGCTCATAAGACACATCTTTGCCGGTCCAAATTTTTTCTAGAACATCACCATTCAATGGATAGGAATGAGACAAACTGATCACGTCAACCGCTGTCTTCAATGCCTCACCCCAAAAGGATCTTAGCAATTTAGCTTGTGAAAGTAAACACCTTGTTTTTTCCACAATTTTGCGGTTCATCCTTTCGGCAACGCCATTTTGTTGAGGAGTCTTCTTAACTGTCTTTTGGTACCGAATACCTTGGTTGTGACAATACTTATCAAATGACCCAATGTATTCACCACCATTGTCTAATCGGATGCACTTCAATTTCTGCCCTGTTTCTCTTTCAACCATGGCCTGAAAATGGTTAAATACTTCTAAAACTTGATCTTTAGTTTTTAGAAGAAAAGCCCAAACTTTCCTTGAATAATCATCAATGAAAGTAACAAAATAAAGTACACCATTATGTATTCTAACTTTTAAAGGACCACAAACATCCGAATGAATCAACTCCAAAACATTTTCTTTTCTAGAAGCAACATTTTTATGAAAAGAAACTCTATGTTGTTTACTCGCCAAACAATGAACACAAGTTTTAAGATGTATACCTTTCAAACCGGGTAGAAGCTCTTTCTTGAACAAAACTTGTAGCCCCTTTTCACTCATATGGCCAAGCCGCTTATGCCATAATTTGGTAGAAGTATCATCTTCAAGTGCATTGACAACACCTTTACAAATTTTTCCTTGCATCGAATAAAGTGTATGAGTTTTCTTGCACTTAGCCACCACAAAAGAACCCTTCGTGAGCTTCCATATTCCATCACCAAATTTGTTGTTGAAGCCTTCATTATTTAGTTTCCCAGTAAAGATCAAATTAAGGAGAATGTCAGGAACATGCCTCACATCTTTAAGCAACAACTTGCAGCCCAAATTTGTTTCCAAGCAAACATCACCCATGCCAATAATCTTGGACAAACCTTCATTACCCATTCGAACAAAACCAGAATTTCCTTCGGTGTAGGTAGTGAAGAAATCAACTCAAGAAGTCACATGAAAAGAAGCACCAGAATCAATCACCCAATTGCTCTCTTGGTCCACAAAATTGATACAATCATCTTCACAAACGACCATGAGATCATCGGTAGTAACTGAACAAAACCAGAATTTCCTTCGGTGTAGGTAGTAAAGAAATCAACTCAAGAAGTCACATGAAAAGAAGCACCAGAATCAATCACCCAATTGCTCTCTTGGCCCACAAAATTGATACAATCATCTTCACAAACGACCATGAGATCATCAGTAGTAACTGTCGTTGTGTCTTCTTGTTTTTTATCTACACTTTTGTCACGCCTTTTCTCCTTGTTCTTGAGCTTTCGGCATTCTCGTTTCATGTGCCATTTCCCATGGCAATAATGGCACTCAATGTCTTTCTTTAAAAAAGAACCATCTTTTGATTTGTCACGGCTTTGATCACGACCACGAGGAGTCTTACTCCTCCCCCTTGTTTTGCTTTGGCCTCTCACAACAAATGCTTCCGAATGAGAGGAACCCGCTGATTTTCTTTTAGTTTCTTCATTCAACAAGCTACTAGTGACTTGGCCTATTGTGACAACTCCATCAGGTGTCGAATTACTAACCATCACAACCAAAGTCTCCAAACTTTCGGGTAAAGAACTAAGTAGCATCAAAGCCTGCAACTCATCACCAAAAATAATTTTCATAGAAGCAAGTTAGTTAACAATACTCTTTATTTCATTCAGATGTTCTGAAATAAGGCTGCCCTCTTTATATTTTAAATTAACCAACTTATGAAACAGAAAAGTTTTATTTGTGGCTGATTTCCTATCATAAAGGCCCTCTAATTTTTTTCATAAATCATGTGCCGAAGTTTCAGTAGTAACATGATGAACCACACTGTCATTAATCCATTGACGGATAACACCAACGACTTTTCGATTAAGCCTATTCCATTCATCATCTTTCATACCCTCGGGTTTGCCACTATCACCCTCAATGGGCCCATACAAATCTTTACAAAATAATAGGTCCTCCATTTTAGTTTTTCAAGTTACCCAATTACTTCCATTGAAGCTAGACATACGACTCATATTCTCTTCCATTGATTTACACAAATAAATAAACCCAAATAAATCGTAAGCTCTGATACCAGTTGTTAGGGAAAATACGTGATTCCCCACAAGTAAATCAATCAATAAGAATAAAAATTAATGCGGAAAAATTAAATCAGAAGCAATACAAGAATTTTTACGTGGTTCCCTCAATGTGAGGTACGTCCACGGGATCGAAATCCGATTCCACTATCAACCAAATAAGTTCCAAACGATTACAAACGAGACACTAATGATCTCACAAAACCACTCTTAAGTGAATTCCAAATAATCACAAATAAATAAGAGGAAAGATCTCACCAAATAGATAAACCAAAATCTTCAAAATTAAAATTAAAAAAAATCTATAATAATACACCCAAAACAAAACCGAAAACCAAACCAAACCAATCCACACACTGCCGAATTTAACCCAGCGCCTACCCACACAAATCAGCCGCAGTAGTTCGGAAAAGGTGTTTGTAGCCGCTGTCTACTTTTTTTTGAAGTACAAAACAATATATATATTGGACATATATATATTATTAAATCTTGAATTTTGTAATCTAACTCTAATAGTATCCAAATTAAAATGAGTCTCTACAAATATAATATATAAAAATATATTATACTTAAATTAAATTAAATTAAAATTCTTTTAATAAATCAATTGAGTCCCACACTCCAATAAAAAGGTATATCCAACGTAGACAACTAGAGATATGAAAAAAAATGATACAAATTTTAATTTTAGTATTAAAATGAATGATATAAAATCAAATTTTTATTTAAATTTGATAAAAATTTTAATTTACCGTTAGATATGATCTAAAGTAAAAAAATAAAAAAAATAAAAAAATTATGAAGTAAATACACAAAATAAAAAAAAACAAAAAAAAAACAAAATAAACCCCGAAATGAAATCCCACTTCATCCCTCCCGGCAACCCTAATCACCCTCCCTCCACTTCCACCTCTCTCTGTACGGACAGGTTCGAAGCTCACCATTGCTGGGATCTCCTCAAAAAGACACTGCCAAAACCCCCACATCGCGGACCAAGTCTCCCTACAGGTTCGCTCTTCTCTCTTCCTTTTCTCTTTTAGTGGTTGTTGTGGATTAGGGTTTGGGAATTCTGTAATGGGGTTAGGGTTAAGGTTTCGGTGGTTGCTAGCCGGCAATGGTGGCGGCGGCGGCAGCAGCGACAGTTGGTAGTTACAATGGGAGGGAAGGTGAAAGAGCACAAATTTTTATAAAAAACATTTTATGTTTATGCATTTTATTTTTTTAGGTGAAATTCGACATTATGGTTACTGGCTTAAGCGAAATAAAAATTAAATAACCTCTTGCATAAATAATCGTATTGTGTAAATTACTTATATTTTCTTGTCATTTTATTGTGACTCAAAATGTACTTTAACTCTTATGCTTTGCATTCATTCTATTTGTATTTTGCCGGACATGTGTTTAGACGAAATATTTAATAATAATGCACTTTAATTCACAAATCAAATTTAGCTAATTTTTATAAGGGTTTAAAATGAAATTTGATCCTTTTTTAATTTTTTATCTTTCCACTTTTTTTGTAATTTTAATTTTCATTCTAGTGTATTTTGCTATTTTTCTTTCTCTGAAACTATCTGTGTAAACAAAGCAGGTTGAGTGCATCAAGCCATGGGATCTCGCTTACAGATTCAAGGGGATGAGTCGGTTCTTTTACGCGTAACACATTCTAACCTCAAGAGCTTCGCTTCTGATGTTCGCTTTTCACTTCAGGTACTGAAGAAGAAATAGGACATCTCCTTTTTAAAGATTCTATGTGAATGTTGACATATGCATTATTCTTCCCATTGGTAGTAGTTTGCTAGGTAACAAGTAGTTCATTTGCTACATGGACTTCTATTATGTAGTTCATTTTTCATATAGCAATTTGATTGAATCTTATGCGCCAAAATCTTTATAATCTACTATTGAAGTATAGACATTTTATATGAGAAAGTTGTGTGTGACATGTGGAACAAGGTTATTTGCTCTACTTGTAATGTGTATATGACAAATTTTTGGTGTGGCACTCTTAGATGACAATTGAAGCTGTGAAGGAGAAGCTCTGGAAAAAATGTGGGACGTCTGTTGATTCAATGTGCCTCGAGCTATATGATGACATGGGTGCTAAAATTTCAGATATGAGTGATAACTTGAGACCTCTTGGTTTTTATTCTCCACAGGATGGGTTAGTCAAACCTTCTTCTTCTTTTTTCTTTTTTTTTTTTTGTTAGCCCTCTCTTTCTGTTTTTGTTTTCCTTCGTAATTCAGGCACAAAGATTTTAATTTGTAACATACCCTGCTTTATTCTTATATAGTTTTGATATGTTAAAAAGGTAATATGCTCTGCTTATTTAAATAATCCATCTCTAATTGCTTGTTATATATATATATATATTTTTTTTTTGTTGTTGTTGGTAAAGATTGCTTGTTATATTCTTATTCTGCACCATGGGATTTGTAATTTGGTTACTTCTGTTGGATACATTTGCAATACAACTGAAATAGATGAGATTTGAGTACCATTATTTCGATACAAATAAGCAAAGCATATTATTCCAATACCATAATGTATCGCCAGTGAGACTCATTTGCTTGTACTGTATTATTTTCCTTCTCATTATCTTCTTCTTCTTCCTCTTCCTCTTCCTCTTCTTTTTTTTTTAAATTTTTTGTATCCTTTGTTGCCATATTGTCCAATATAAGTCTCTGGCTTCTTTAAATTGATCAGTTTATCTCTCTCATGTTATTATAGGTATAGATTGCATGTTATCGATCTTGATCCATCGTCAGTAACCTCTGGCGGCTGGCTGGAAGACACTTCGTTGGTGGAAAAATACAAAATATCTGAAGAAGCCTATAATAAACGCAATAGTAAGTCTTGATAACTCCATTTCACATGCTCAAAGGCTAAAACATATATCTCCTTTTCAAGTTTTGTTTTCCTTATTAAGATTTTCAATAAAAAGTAAAGTTCAAGAAGTGGATGAGTTTGGAAATTGCATGGTTTCAAGCTAAACCCACTTGGGACCAATCGGGATCATGTGTGATCCAGTTTTTGGTCATATTGGAGTCTTATTTTTTAGTTATTAGTAATTTTTTTTTTTTGGATATTGGCTGTGGGGATTGTCTATCGGTTTTCTATGGTCATGTAATTCGATTTTTATTTATGGCTTCTTATTTGGTTTTAGATAGGTTTTGAAAGACACTTTTATTTTCAAAGGAGGGAGTCAAAGTCATTAGGACAAGGAATTCTCTAAAATTCTATATAAAGCCATATGGCAATGATTCGAATTTAATAGAATTGAGATTTTAGGGAGTTTTTAAAGTTTCTTTGGGATGATTGTGTGATGCAATTCTAAACCCAGTGCAATGTCTAGAGTTTATCCTCATCTTCTTCTTCCTTTTTTTTTGGGGGCATTTGTAGCCTTTTCTCACAACCAGATCTATTTGTCACCCTTCTCATACCATTAACCCATAATCCCTTCATATTTTAACACTAATTTGCAAAATAACCTAAACTATCCTTAATTACTGTTCATGGAACTGTTACAGCACCGAGAACACCCCCCAAAATCAGGTCTTCTCATGCCCAACGCACTACTCTTTTATTGCCCCATACAAACGCCGGTAATCTACCTGATTTTTTCAATCTTTTGGCTGCTAAAACCAACTAAAATCAGGCTTTAAACCTGCTTTCACTGCTGCTGTTTATTAGATTTGGGCACACTACTAGTAGGAGTGTGTCTCTTGCACTCATCCTACATGATTGATTTGTTACTGTGCTGGATTGTTTTGACTTGTTAGAAATCGATATGGATTTGTTGTCTTAAGATAACCTGCAAACAATCTTACATTGAATTTGTAAGTTGGGAAAGTTCCTACTAGCTCTTTCTAATTGTTATGTACGTCTTGCATCTTTTAACTTCTTAATGTCACAGTATTGCTTTGAGAATATTTCATTTTCCATGAACACATTTAGGTAGTGTTTGGTTCGTTGGAATGATTCTAGGCCAGAATGGAATGGCTATTCCTTGGCCTCCCAATGAATGGCCATTCTCCTAAATTGGTGAATGGTGATTCCACTTCCAATATAAATTTCTTTCCCTTTTACCAAACAAACATGAGAACACGTATTACAATGGAGTGACCATTCCATTCTAGCCTCTTTCCATTCCAAACACTGGATTAAGGTTAATGCAGCAGGATTTTATTCTCTCTCTCACAGTAAGTAACGGCAGGATTTTATTTTTGGTTACAATATTGTGCTTAGCTGTTGGACTAGCAGAGGAAATTCATTAAAAACATTGTTTTTCAGGCACTTTTAGAAAGTTCAAGGAAAATTACGCCCATCAAAATCCTTCTGCTCATGAGACCAAAGTAAGCTTCTGATGTTATATTAGCAGTTTAACACGTCTTAAGATGATTTGTGTTGTGACATTCAGATTTTCCTTGGTACCATTGTCTGGTGTATTTTATTTTTTTCCCAAACTCCCTTGCTCACCTTAACAAACTGGTGTTTTGTTTTGGTCTACTCATCTTTGTGATTCCCACTCGTGCGTGCGTGTGCGCGTGCGTGCGTGTGCGCGTGCGTGCGTGCGTGCTTGCTTTTTTTCTTTCTTTCTTTCTTTTAGTTCTTCTGTCATAACCTTCTTGATATTTTGATCCATTAATTATCTGTCTATATTTGAGTTGTGCTTATCTTTGTGTGGAAATGGATTGCTTTCTAATCTTTATCCTTTATATAGAGTTTGGACAATTCCATGGAGGACGCTTGCTTTCTTTGTTTATTTCTTCTGTCATAACCTTCTTGATATTTTGATCCATTAATTATCTGTCTATATTTGAGTTGTGCTTATCTTTGTGTGGAAATGGATTGCTTTCTAATCTTTATCCTTTATATAGAGTTTGGACAATTCCATGGAGGACCTCTGTGCAAACATCAAGGTTAGTTGAGCTTGATGGTTCATTTTCTTCGTCCTTGCTTTTTCTGTTGACAGATTGCTGAAACTGTTGAAATTATGTTGTGGTGTCATGAGATGGAAAAAGGAAAATAGATAAATAAATAAATAAATGTGAAAACTGTTGAAATTACGTTGTGGTTTCATAAAAGAGAGGAAAAAAAGGAAAAATAGGTAAATAAATATATGAATGAATGAGAAAAGACAAAACGTCGTACAAAATTATTGTTGATTATTTGTGAGGATAGTTTTATAGGATAAAAACCTAAGTTTACCCTAAAGGGACAAAATGATTCAGGTTCAGGCATTATGGAAACAAACCGCTTTATTTATTCATTTGTTTCAGTTTGTTTCTTTCTAGGCATTTAGCACTCTGCTGTGAATATGCTATTGTTCTCATGGTTAGTCCATTTAATATCCTTGTCAGTTCCATTTGACATGTACCTGATCTTATGCATGGTCAAATAATTTTCTTTCATGCCCTTTATGTCTTAAATTTTATAAGAGAAATTTTGAGTTTTTATTAGTAGTTGTATTTAATGCTCGGAGCTACTTTCCTTCATATTTTGCAATAGGAACGAATACTTTCTTTACTTCAAACTTTTTTTTTTTTTTTAGTTTTATTTCATTACCCTTTATTATGTCTTGTGTATTATCTTCTGAAAGAGTTATGCACGCCATTATTTTGTTATTACTTCTTTTCTTTTTTTTCTTTTTTTTTTAATACTTTTGTAGGTAGGAGATAGATGTCAAGTTGAACCAGGAGAGAAAAGAGGTGTTGTCAAGTTTGTTGGCCGAGCAGAAGCTCTTGGATCTGGTTTCTGGGTTGGAGTCCAGTATGATGAACCATTAGGGAAACATGATGGCATGTATGTTCATTTTAAATTTTATATCCTTGAAACTTAAAGATTGTTTGTGAAGGTTTTCAGTTTGTTTTATTTTTTATAATGCATTAGCTCTATGTTCTTGTAATTAGCATTCGGTTTTCTTACAATGTTTTAAATTCGTGGATTGTTTGGGAATAAGTTGATTGAGTCATGTATCAAATTGCAATAATATATAAAGGGATGAAAATGAAATATTAATGTTCACTTACAAATGGCAACACATTGAGCCACCCAACTATGAATCTTCAATTAAATGCCAAGAAAACAAATTTAAATTAACATTGGTAGGGGTTTTACTTTTCTTTTTCTTTTTTTCATATGCCCATCGTGTTGTGTCCTAATTTGTTTTAAATTGTTGGGTTCCATACCCATGTCTGTGTCTGGGTCACTGCTTCTTAGACTATGCTATATATCTACTGTCCGGAGACTAGTGAGGGCTTGCTGCAGTTTTTCCACTTACTAGAAGTGGTCAAATTGCTTTCTTTTTCTTATTATTTGTTCTGAACCTGTGGTTCTGAGTTGCGCTTCTCCACTGATTTGCCTCAACAATATTGCAGGGTGAAAGGAACACGTTACTTTGATTGTCCACCACTTCATGGTGGAATAGTTAGACCAGAAAAAATAAAGGTATGCTTCAAACAATATTTTTCTGATGCTTTCATATTAGAGCTCGTACTCACTAATGAGACGGAGAGCATTCAACAAAAAAGGTGTTTTCCTCTGAATTATAAAATATGAAATTGTAGTAGCTACTTAAATGATGCAAAAGTTGGGGCATTTTGCTACCCCTTTGAAATAAAAAGATGATGAGGGAAAATTAGTACTTAAAAAAAAAAAAAAGAAAAAAAAAATTGAAAAAGAAGATGGGGAAGTTTCGGTTACATATGGGTCACCTATAAACGTGATTGTAAAACTGTACCCGCCAAAAAATTGTCCAGTATACAATATATTGCTTTGTTTTTCTAATAGTTTTGGGTGTTTTTGTTACAATCTGAATATTTCCCAGGTTGGTGATTACCCAGAACGAGATCCATTTGAGGAAGAGGAAATTTGAGAGGAGAGAGATGAAGAGGATACATTTGTACTTGGCTGTTTTAACATTTTAACATAATTTCATTTGTGCCGTAGGAAGATAGTGAATGATGCCTTCTTTGGCATATTTCTCAACATTTCACTACATTTGAAGCCATGGGGTGTATTTTCCTGGTTGAGTTGGTTAAAATGTGAGTTTAAACAACAGTGAGCTTTGGTGTGTTTGTTCATTCATATCCCCAGAATGATGGTAGGAAAGAATGATGTTGAGATTTATTGGATGATTTTCTACCCCAAGATTTAACGAGTGAAGTACAATGTCGATTCCTCCCTTCAACATGTGGTATTCACTTTTTGTCTTACATTTGTTTTGTTTTTCATTATGTGAAAATCTTCTGGCACTTGGGTTTTCTCACAAATATATGAAGATATCACGATTGAAAACAGAAAATATAAAGATTAACTCTCTCTTTTCAGGATCGATATTTTGTAAGGATATTGCCAAATATAATTTGTACAAATATCTGGAAATTTCCCATCTTCAAAAACATTGACAATTTGATACGAAAAAAGCAATATTATAAAGTTATTTTCAAATTTTCAAAAACTAATTTATCATAAAAATGAAAACAATGGGCCTGAATACAAAACAAAAATAAAGAAAACTGAGGTCAGAAAAATGATACATAATATGAAAGCTTGTGAAATGATAAAAATCAAGCTAAATAAACATCTAAAGTGGTCCTCAATTGTATGGCAATTTTTCCATCTAAGCATCGCTTGTTTATTGTCGATGCTTCTGTTCAATTTGTATTTTTCCAATCTACCTCAGCAGAGTCAAACAGACAAATTATTAGCACTCGACGACTCGGTACACTTAAAACCTTGTACAACTTCCATACAAAAATGAAAAAATCGAACCTATTTGGTAACTCCCCCCTAGGCATTGATTTCAACT